GAAATGTTTTCTTCTGGAATTAAATAACCCTAACAGATATTCCTGTGTAAGGTTTGAGGTTCTCACAGTGGTGGGATTTATACTGTGGTCTTCTGGGTTATGTGAGTTATGACACTGTGTAGTAATCTGTTGTGTCAATACCAACATTTCTGGGGAGTATACTGCCTCCATATTGAGGTTTCAGGGCCCAGTCCCAAAGATGGAAGCAGTATGTTCCTCCCATACAGAGTACAGCCACCAGACCACAACTTGGTGTCAACATACAGATCACTATACAAATAATATTCCACTATTATTATTTTCAGTTCCACGTTGATTTTAATGGAAGGCTCTTTACTGTTATCAGATTTGTTGTATGTCTTCTTAGGAGCAAACTAGTCCCTTTACTGCACATCTGAGTTACAGTCATCCTGTTAAATTGAGCCTTTTGTTTCTGAGAAGACATCACAGCAATTGACACGTACATTCAGGATTGATGGCACTGAATAACTGTCCTTCCCTACCATTCAGTGGCTGCAGCTTTATCACTAAATAAGATTTGGCATTGAACAGTACTAATGTGTAGTCTGTTGAAAGTCAACCAACGTTTTAGAGGAAGACATCGCCTCTATCTTCACTGTCGAAGAATAAGCCGAGCAAGAAACAAATGTGAAAGCATGTTGACTTCCGGTGGCCTACACAGCATTATGTCCTATAAGATATTACTCTTTGTAACCACTGCTGTAAGAATAAAAAATCCTACAAGCATTCACATTTTCTTCCTCATATATGCCATGTATGAAAATAAAGATTGTTGCTGGGTACATTTATTTGAGTGTTATTTTCTTGCCCCCATGTCCCCCTCCACATTGATATGAAACTGGAATACTACCATCTGGGATGTGATGCCTTGTAGTTGTGATAGAAGTGCCAACATTTCAATGGGACATACTGTCTCCATCTTCTGGGTCTTCTGTGTCTGATGCATGCTTAGCGTACTCTTCAACCATGAGGATGGAGGTAGTATATTCTTCCGAAACATTGCCAAAATCCATCCAGACTATACATCATCACACCCAAGAAGATAGTACTCTTCATACTCACCAAAGTGAGAACCTCATATCCAACAACCTACAAGTGGCTTGCCCAGCAATGCAAGGAGTTTTTTTAGTCTGCTTTCCTTATTTTGAAGAAAAATGAAAGTAGGCTTCTGTGGCTGCGAGTACTCCCCTCCCCCACCCAATTTACTTTCGAATGCCCGAACCAGTCTATGTAACTTGGCATCTATATCATGGCACCTAAATCCATCTCATCGGTATACTTCATAAAACTTTACCATCAGCCTGTGTGTCACTCTGTGTCTGATCATGACGTGCAATCCATAACACTTAAAATAATAAACATGAGAACATATGCTAAACAATTTAAAATAATAATGAAACTCCTTTTTAGACACTTGAAAATTTACTATTCCAGTTTTCCAAAAAAGAAAAAAAAAATTCAAATAAGTGATTGGATTACTGTAGGAATAATAATGTCCTGTAATGGCATGTAGAAACAGTAATAATTCAGAATTAAGAAACTATTATAAAAAATACTGTAAAATTTATCTAAGGTCATTAAGGAAGCTAAAGAACTAAAATATGATTACAAAATTCCAAAAATAAAACCGTATGGGATATAGTAAAATTAGAAACTAATAAGGGGCCAAATAATGAAAAAATATGCGCATTAAAGGTGGACAGAAAATGGATTAGTGAAAAGCATGTAATTGCAGAGACCTTTAACAATACTTTTTATCTGTAGCTGGAAATAAAAATGCAAAAAGTAATACAAATATTAGTTACCTTCCAGACACTGCTCCCATTCAGTTTTAATTGAAAACTTGTATAAATCCCTTCCCACATATTCAAGTCTTTATCAACCAAGGAAGTTGAAAATATTGTGACATGTTGACCCCTACCTCCCCAGCGGTACGTGGCGGTAACGTAACGCTCGCGTTCTTACGGTAATAGGCGAGTTCCCGCCCCGCCACTCCCCTCCGCGGTGACGTCACCGAGGGATATCGCGGTCGCTAGGCAACGCGAGTCAACAGCGGCGACGTTACGGTAGTAACAGCGGTTACCACCGCTAGCGTTACATAGCAACACAGCGCCAGGCAAAAAGGGTGCTTATTACGTGGCCGTTTTCCGTATGGTCCGATCAAGGCTACATAGGGAGCAGCGAAGGCTATTCACGGGCAGTTATAAAGTAACAGTCGCCGAGTCAAGACGTAAAGTCAGCCAGTCAGTTGTATTGTGGCATTTGGAGTGTACTAATTGTGATACTGCAGATAGCAGTAATCGTCAGATTGTAATTTGGGTGATTGTAAGAGCGAATGTGAAATAAAATTCGCTACATCGAATACGTCGAGAATTTATTTGTCGCGTTATACGCCCGATACGCGACAATATAATTAAATCTCTCAAATCAAGAAACTCATGGATACGATGAAATATCCACTAAAGTATTAAGAATGAGTTCTTTTTTTCATTAGCTCTCCTTTGACTCGCATATGCAAAAATTCAGTATCACAAGGAATTTTCCCAGATTGTTTAAAATATTCAGAAATAAGACCCCTGTTTAAAAAAGGCGAGAAACCAAATATTTCAAACTATAGGTCTATGTCACTTTTAACTTCCTTCTGTAAGGTATTAGAAAAACCATGGGCATCCAATTGATTGAGCACTTAAATAACAATAACATTTTAGTGGTAGAACAGAATCCTCAACAGATGAGGCTATATACAAATTTGTGAATAAAATCTATAAGACCTTAAATAGCAAAAACTTAATAGGGGGCATTTTTGTGACCTCGAAAAGGCTTTTGATTGTGTTAGTCATGAGGTTTTATTCTTGAGATTGGAGTTCTATGGGATAAAAGGTAAAGCTAAACTATGGCTTGAATTGTATTTCAGAAATATCAAAGGGTTTTAATTACAAATATAAATCTTAATCCCAATGAATTTTTGACATGATGCTAAATTAGACACGGTGTCCCGCAAGATTCGATTCTGGGCCCATTGTTATTTCTCATTTATATAAATGATAAAACCATATCCATATTATTTGCAGATGATACTAGTTTGTTATTTTTCACAGTATAAATGAATGGTTCAAAGTAAATCAACTTCCTATAAATTTTAACAAAACCTCCTACATTCAATTTACAGCTGTAAATAATAATCCTAAATCTATATAAATAAAAATGTAAATGTTGGTTTGTTACCCCTCGAAAATCTCCGAAAGTTCTTCACCGAGTGCTTTGAAATTTTGACACAACGTTGCATTTGAATGCGCGCGTGTTTTTATGTACCTATTATATAGATGTCACACTGTGACAGGTAAAAACATGCGTCTTTTGAAAAACAGAATTGGAATTTGGAATTCAGAAGAGTCACCCCTATGGAAACGCTAGAACAGACCGTTGCATAGGAAGTAACAATAGCGATACTGTATCGATTCTCCATGGTTACGACGAATACACGGAGCGTTCCCACAACGACACAGCACACACGTGAACTACACTCTAATAATAAAAACATAAAACCAAGAGAAATAAACGACATCTCCCACCATCAGGAGGAAAACAATATGACCCAATGTCGGCTCAAGATATTTTAATATAATAACTAATTGTTTACATGGGAATGTTAATACAATTTTAAATACATTGGGAGGCTAATGTATGGAAAAGTGAACACCATATTGCGTGCAGTGAAAAACCCTAGTCAGAATAACCAGGAAATACACTAAAAGACGTTCATCATAAGTAAATCTACATTTCAAGAAGCGCCATCGTGCGTGCCTAAGATAAACATCGGAACCAACGTGATAACAAAATTTATATAGAGATCATTAGTCATATCTAAAGTGCATATTGTTAGAATATCTTATGTAACAGTGTTTCCTTATCGTAGTGGTGCGCCTATGAAGATGATTCTTTTGAATCGAAACATGTAAGGCGAATGAGGACTGAAGTGTTATAAACTTGTATGTCACACTGGACTGAACTTTTCATTATCTACTCTGTACAAGATTGTCAGTCTGTGATCTAGTTTTTAGTTACTTATTTCAGATATACACATTCTTTATATCACTGTATACTAGTTTTTAATTCAATTTATTATACTATTAATGTATGTTATACAAAACTCATTAATGACATTGTGTTTTAATTATTGAATTTTTAATTAATAGACTTATTTAAAACTGTACAAATTGTATAAGGTTTGCCATTGTTCTTACTACTAAAATTAACCTATTTTATTATATTGTATACCTTCATCAGTGCTATATTACAAATGTGTATGCTATTGGATGACAACCGCAATTCTTAATTGTGACTGTAACTAGGATGATCTCCACATCTGCATGAGAAGGTACTCTCGACAGGATTTATGGAAAGTGAATAAATGAAATGAAATGAAATCGTTGCAAGGTAACGGCTCGGTAAACATGCCCCGCTTCAACAAATACAAAAACAAAATAGAATTGTTGGACGCATGTGTTGTTTGTGTATCCCCCACATCCTTTGCTAGGTAACAACTTTGTGAAGGCGTTACCGCTACAACGAAGAATTGTTCGAGGCGTCGTTTTGTATATGGTGTGTGTCTGATCAAAAGAAAGTCGACAGTTAATTCTTCCAAAAAATACTTGTTTTTAACAAACCGCAATTGACATTCATTGTCCTATGGGAAGCGGGTGGAATTAAACCAGCCTCAAGAATATTTGGTGTTTAATTGCCGCTGTATATTGCTTCATTTGTAATAAATAATTGTAGGAAATTGTGAGCTTTAACAAATTTGAAGTCTGTGTGTACTGTCTACAGTAATACGTACTAAAGCATTGCGTTCAAACGAACTCGCCTTTTAACATTCTTCTACCTAAACCACGAGGCCATTGCCCATTGCCGAGCTAGTTTGGCGCATGCGCATTGTCTTATTTGGGCACTTAGAATTTTGTCGTTCGTAGCTCGCGTCTGCTTGCTTGGTGGTGCAGGCCGTGCAGACTGTTTCCTGTTGGTAGGCCGATGTGTTCGTGCTAGCGTTTGAGAAAATGAGCGTCGAAATTATTGTTGCAGGTGATGGACTGGACTTGGTAAGTACCTGTTGTCGTTATTATTTATAAAGTGAATGTTTCTACGTAAATATTGACCCTGGGAACGTAATGTGTTTGTATTTGTTCTTGTAATGGTACAGACAAGGGCTGAAAATTATCTAAGTCCCAAAATGGCGTCTGGAGGCTAAGTCCCACGTAGTGATGTACTCAGTGCAATTCTACAAAGTGTACTATTATAAACTCATATACGCATTAGTAGTACTATAAGACTTTCGCTTATGTAACCCAGTTCGTGGATTCTTACTTTTGGCTCAATTTCAGGAAAGAAAATCGAAAGAAAACAGGAGTGTGGACGGGAACCAGTCAGCCGGAGGTGAGTGAAGGTTCACGGACCTTTAACTTTAGGCCTTCTATTTTGTATGCGGAAAGAAAGAAATGTGTAATCCTAATTTTAAAAATAATGTAAACCCGATTCTTCAAACAAGTCTGTGTGTTCACAAAAATGTAAAGGGTTGTGATCATTATGTGTTCTGAAATACTTTGTAGTTATATAAACGTGGTTGCTGTTTCTGACAGATGGACACATGATTATGAATGGAATCTCCAATGGATATACTGAGAAACATGTTAAGAAAGAGCACAAATCAGAGCATAAAGATAAACACAGAGATAAAGACAAACATAAGGATAGGCATAAGGAACATAAAGACAAAGAGAAACACAAGGACAAAGACAAGCAGAGCTCAAGTGGAAAGGTAAAAATTTTTAAACTTATTTTGTAGGAATTTGTGAAGATTATTTGTAATTGTGTTTGTAGAAGTTAATTTATTTTGTGTAGAAAAATGATTATTTCATAAGACTTGTGTTGCATCAAGTGCTGTTATATTTCATTGTGGCATCTCTCTGTGGTACGGTTATGTAGTGCAAGCAGTGAGACATAAAGTAAGATGATATTTTACACAGTCGTTATTTTAAGTGGGCATTTGATATTGTGTTGTTCCTGGAGGATGTGGATCATTCAACCTTTGTCATGAAAAAATCTGTGTTAAGGTTTAGCAAGTGTAATTGTGTACATATGTCACCTCAGTGATGAAATTGGTGTTTGTGAACTCCCCCAATACCACATTATGAGCATCTCCGCATGGTTGTAATATGGTTAGCTATGTAGCAAGCTTTGTTACTGAGTTTAATGAGCTATCCCTATGTGAAGTTTGTTGTGTGTTTCTAAGTTCATTCTGTACTTTATATTCTGTGTTTAGACTGTCTACATATCTTATCTTTGTTTCTGGAAAATATTAATCAGCTTGATAAATACAAAGTTTGTGAACTTGAATTTATGTTGAAGAATGCTGTCTTCTGGGATGTGGTACCATGACCTACATGGCACCACATCCCAGAAGACGGCATTCTTCATAGTCATCACCATGAAAATCTCAAATCTTTTATTTGGAACTGTAACATCTCAAAATTTGTCAGAATCATTTCCATATTTTTCACTTGATATCTTACATGAGCAGTTATTTGTAACTCTCATGCAGCATTTCAATAGAAGGAGTAAAATGACTGGTTAAATATTTAATACTGTACGGGGGTGGGCTTTGAGTTACCGGGTACACAACATATAAACTTGCTGTGAAGTAGCTTTTCAAAGATTTATTAAGGTGATATTGGAACGTAGTTGTATTGTGTATAGGGTGTTGGCTTGTTGACTATTCCTCAGGTCCAGGTGTGCACAGGGACAGTTAATGCAAGTATCTTGTGTCCCACTTGCCATATTGGTAGAAGACTTTAACAGAAGGCTCTCCAACGAACTCTTTGTAGACCTCGTTACATTTTTCTTCTGAACTCATAATTGTATGTTATTTGATGTTGCAGTTTTATTAAAATAACCTATTCTGTTTAGCCAGGGAGGTAATGGAAGTTTTCTTCTGTATAGGACTGAGCAAGTTGGTCCAAATGGCCTGACTTTTGTTTGAGAGATGACTGATTTGAGTCATGAAACATTGCTCATATTGCAGTAGAGGAAGTCAAGTTCTTGAGCCACAGAACAAGATTTAAAAGTCGTCTGCATAATGTACAATAGCATTCAGCCAAGTTACTGGAGTTCAGGTTAATGGTGTGTGTGTGTGTTTTTTTTTGACAGCTGTATTGTAACTGCCAACTTCACAAAGAGTTTCTTCCCAGTAGACACCAATTTTTCTGCATTTGGATAAAGCACACAAATTGTTTCATAGACCCTGTGCAAAACACGTGCTACACATAACATGCATATATCAGTTTGGGTCGGACAAAATGCAGATGGATGATTTCCCATCTGTCAAGTGTTAACTTAGATTGCTGGAACCCTGAGCGGAGGATTGCCATGTTAAAAAAGGGGGTATTTAATCAGATATCTTCATATCAGCATTTTGATAACGGGCTGCAAGGACGTGCGACATAGTAATTTGTCAGTTTTTTAAGACACGTTATTCAGTTATGTTTATATACCTCAAAAATATTTCCAGAAATGAAGTATAGCAATATGTGGTTCTTTTGTGACACAACAGGATACATGAAATGAAATATATATATATCTGTCTGTCTGTGAAAGTAATTAATCTAGTAACTTGAATGGTACATTGATTTTCATTAGCTTAAACATCTGTAATAATTAGAGATCTGTTCTGTAATTGTATGTATTATTTGTAAGCAAATTTTGTTGGGAAGTTTGTCATCTGTTGTGAATATGTAAGGACCTGTATCTTACTGAAACTTATGGAGATGTGAGACAAATTAGTGGTTGAAGATTTCAGACTGTTTAAGTAATTGTTTGCATTTGTGCATATTGTTTTTGAACTGTTCTACTTGTGAAATATATTCAGCATCTATTTGGAATCCCAATAATCTTCACCCAACATATATTTTCAAGCTTTTCTTTGTTATTTCTGTTGTAAAGCACCACACAAATTTATGTAGTCATGAGGCTTTTGTTAGGATGTACTTGTTTTGAATTTTGGCAGTATTAACAGCTGGATTATTTTATCCATGTGTCTCTTTGTTAGGGGGTTTGTTGATCACAGCAGAATGGTAGCTGGCTTTATCCATGATATAACTGATCCCACGAAATAATTTAGGAAGCATAAAAATGTAATATAGAAAACTATAATTTTGCCTGTGGTTCTGTATGGGTGTGAAACTTGGTCTCTGACATTAAGGGAGGAACTAGACTGAGGGTGTCTGAGAACTGGATGTTAAGGAGAATATTTGGACTGAAGAGAGATGAAGTGACAGGAGGTTGGAGAAAACTGCACAGTGAGGAGCTTCATAACTTGTACTCCTCTCCAAGTATAATTAGAAAGATCAAGTCAAGGAGGATGAGGTGGGCAGGACATGTAGCACGAATGGGGAAGAGGAGGAATGCATATAGGATATTGTTGGGAAGGCCAGAAGGAAAGAGAGCACTGGGAAGGCCAAGGCATAGGTGGGTGGACAATATTAGAACGTATCTTAGAGAGATAGAATTGTATGTTATGGATTGGATTGATCTGGCTCAAGATAGGGACCAGTGGAGGGCTCTTGTGAACATGATAATGAACCTTCGGGTTCCATAAAATGCTGGGAAGTTCTTGAGTAGCTGCAGAGTTGGCAGCAGCTTAAGAAGGGCTCAGCTCCATGAGTAAGTAACTCAAAAACCAGTCTTTTAAATTGGAACCACGTGATTGTGGGCATGAACAAAATACCCATCGACTCTTTGCAATGAAGCCAGTTTTTGTGTACCCTGTTTGACACATTGTAATTATGCTACCTTTCCATGGTGGAACTTTGATGCTTCTGTTACCTTTCAGATCCTTCCATGTGTTCTTCCTTGAATGATTCAGATTTATCCATGTTTTATGTAATGTCCTGTTGCACTGACTCATGTCCATGATTTATGCTAACCGTCTTACATTGCACACACTTTTTCACCTTACTCTTCTCTTTTGCACTACATGTTTCACCACTAATGTGCCATCTTCAGGTGTGTTTTCTCTATGCACGTCTAACTACTGCATTGCATGCCCTGATGTCTTCATACTAAAATGACTAAAATATATATTCGTCATATATAATAATAGATTTTAAATATTAAAACTTTTCAGGATTCGTATCTCAATACGCGAATCACGCCAATCCTCCTCTGTGGGAGCACTCTTCATACATTCTTCCTACAAAGAGCACAATACACATGAGTGTAGGAAGAGTGCTCTCACAGACGAGGATTGGCGTGATTCGCGTATTGAGATACGACGTAAGGATGACTAATCCTGAAAAGTTTTAATATTTAAAATCTATTACATGTAACGAATATATATTTTAGTCACTTTAGTATAAAGACATCAGGGCATGCAGTAGTTAGACGTGCATAGAGAAAACGCACCTGAAGATGGGACATTAGTGCATGCTGAACATGTAGTGCAAAAGAGAAGAGTAAGGTGAAAAAGTGTGTGCACTGTAAGATGGTTAGCATAAATCATGGGCATGTTTTATCTAAACGATAACTTGAGAACTCTAACTTAAAATGTATGACATGACCTTATAGAATGAAAGGTGAAATAATTTGCAGACCATGCGAGATCCTATGTTTTCATGAGGCAGTATTAATTTGATACCATTTGGAATTCTCAATTTAAAAGATGTGTGATATTTTCCTAAACAGTATGCCTTCCTTTTGACCAGTCAGTCTCGTCTTGAATTCAGTGTGGCCTCAGGTTTGTTCACCACTACAATGAGCCAACATTTCATCAGTCTGTGGTCAGGGTTAGGAGCAAGGAGCAAGTATATAGTAGTCTGAATAGTGATTATGGTAGCACTGCGTAGAGTTGTACCTTATGACTACATGACACATAAATAGTACTGATTAAACTATATTTGCACCAGTGTAATTCATAAACCTCATCTCAGTTCACTGATGTCTTGCAGCACTGATGAGAGTGAACCAATCTGGGTGCATAGCCATGAGCCATGCATGCTTGTGCTGGTGATACAGCTACATAACTTAAAGGAGTTACTGAAAATTTTGGACATATGTCTGTGTGATATTGGTGGTTCCTGTCTTGTGCATAGATTAGTTCAAATTAATGTCATACAGCAAATACAACATTGATTTATCAACTTTTTTAACTGTTCATTATATGGTTCACTTGCTTCAGGAGGACAAACATCATAGCAGCAGTAGTAGCATTAAGGATAAAGAGAGAGAGAAAGAAAAGAAGCATAAAGATGAAAAGAAAGACAAGGAGCGAGAGCACAAAAGTACTTCATCCAGCAAAGACAAGGAGCACAAGAGCTCTAGTTCTAGGTAATTTTTTTGGATATGCTTGGAAGCACATTCAGACGTTATAGAAAAGAAAATTTGTTGCCTTTGATAGACACATACTAAACTATAAGCCCCTCTGCTCCCCATCATCTTACTATTATTAGGACCAACAGAATCTGTCTAATAGTTGCATTTCATCTCAGAAGTGGATTCTTTCATCATCTCTAGCCAGCTGAAGCCAGGTCTGTCAGTAACAGTGTTGATGCAGGTATTTATTCATACTCAGATGTAAATTACCTACAGCAGACAAGCAAAACTGGCCTGAAGGGTGCTGACATTCCAGAAATGTGTTACTTCATGCTGGGAAAAGGCCAGGATGATTGGTAAGATTTTTATAACTCATGCAGATACAACTTATCGGTTGAGGATGATTATAATTAGAGTAACAGTAGTGAAAGGTGTGTGTTGTTGATGTGTTTATTGTCCAGAATACTGAGTACCTATGGACCACACCCCTCTGTCAGTAATAAGCTTGGTTTTAGTTGATGTTTTGGGCCGTGCTAGTGTAGTTGATTCTATCCACAAGGTATGCTAGGTATGTTTGCCACAAATAACAGTCAGAAAATTCAGCTTAATGTTTCTCTTTTGTGTCTCTGGGAATTTGAACCCAAGTCTGATGTGGAGTAGTGTCTCCCAGCAGGTGACACTGGTTTGATGGAACTGCATGTAAAAAATTTAAAAAACTTCAGACCATTTGAGTTTCATTAATTTTGAACTGGGGAACTTGATATAGTAGGGCCCTTAAGCTTCTGCTCTCAGTGTTACATATAAGATTTGCCTTTTGATTTCGGCTATATCATTTGCTGAAATCCATTCAAGCAAACATTCTGGCGGTCATCTTCAGTCTTGAATGTTATGGATCTATATTGTTACCAACTATTTGGTAATATAATAGTGTATAAAGTATCATTAAATTTTTCTAGGTACTTCTGAATAAGTGAGATTTTGAATTATTGTAAGTCCATGGATCCATATCTTATTAGCATGTAACTAAAAGATGAGGCATCATATCAGTGGGCATAGACTGGTTGGTGTGTCGTGTATCTCCATGTATTCTAGTGAAAAATAGTAAATTAGATTTATTCTTGAATCCTTGCTTCAGTATATACTTAATATCGTCTAGTGAGAAAGCAGGGCATTATATCAACAGGCAGTGACCAATTGGTGTGTCATATATGTTCCAATGTAATCTAATGAAAAGTGAAAGAAAATAAGTGAACCTGTGTGATAAAAATGTAAGTGGCCATTAAGGGGTTAAAGAGGACAAACGATGAAATCTTAAATGTTTTGTCTTCACAGCATGTCATAAATGTTATTGGCATTGACAGAAATAACAATTATAATGTATTGGAAGGTGACACAGTGTGGTGATTACAAGCAGAATGCAATAAAATTTTTCCAGAAGAATGGTTGTGTACAATTAGATCTTCAGCCATTCATTATAGCTAAAAGATCTGTTTTGGAGATGAGGCAAGTGTCCAAAGTACAGTTTATTACTGTAGCAGTACAGCTGAATGTTTCAGTGTCATTGCAGTTAGTTGTGAAAACTTGACATTTTACACAGAGTGGTTAGTTTTTGATAGGAAGATTAATTCAAATTGTAAAATTAACATCACAGGATCATTGTAAATTTAACTGCAAGGAGGTCTTGTTTCTTATGAGTTGCAGCAAGGACAAGCATAACAGCTGCAGCAGCAGTTTGAGTAAGGACAAGGATAAACATAGCAGCAGCAGTTCAAGCCACAAGCACAGTTCCAGCAGGGACAAGTACAGTAGTACAGGTTCCAGTCGGGACAAGGAAAAGCATGGGTCTGGCTCCGACAGGGACAAGCACAGTAGTTCCAGCTCAGATCGCAAGCATAAGGACAAATCAAAAGACAGAGACAGAAATAAAGGTACCTTGAGGGCAAATAGGAAGGTCAGAACTCTATAAATCACCACACTTGATTATGTGTATGTTTTGATAGAGGTCTTTATTGCCAATACACTATTTATATATATATATAAGTAATTAATCTAGTAACTTGAATGATACATTAATTTGCATTAGCTTAAATGGCTAAAATAATTATTTTGCCTAGAAATCTGTTCTGTAATTATATGTATTATTTGGAAGCAAATTTTGTTGGGAAGTTTGTCATCTGTTGTGAATATGTAAGGACTGTATCTTACTGAAACTTCTGGAGATGTGAGGCTAATGAGTGGTTGAAGATTTCAAACTATTTAAGTAATTATTTGCATTTGTGTGTATTGTTTTTGAACTCTTCTACTTTTGAAATATATTCAGCATCTATTTGAAATCCCAATAATATTCACCCAACATATATTCTCAAGCTTTTTTTTTTGTTATTTGTATTGTAAAACACCACACAAATTTATGTAGTCATAAGGCTTTTGTTGAGCTGGAGTAGGGTAGTAGGTATAACGGCTGGCTATGGGCTGGATGACTGAGGGATTGGAGTTTGAGTCCCGGTTGGGTCAAGAATTTTCTCTTCTCCATGTTGTCCAGACTGGCTCTGTGGTCCACTCAGTCTCCTTGTTACACCTCAGGGGGAGGGGGTGAGAACTTATAATTACTTTCGTCGGTTATTACTCTTTTGCTAACATCTACGTTGCACTCGGCTGCCGTCGGCTGTCTTGGCTAGGGAAGCTCGGGCTCGGTTGAGGACAGGATGGTTACTAACGGGTGAATCAGAACTCCCTGCGTACATTTTCCACTATGTACACTGTCTGTTTACAATAATAAATACATTAAGAAAAAGGCCTGCTCTTATCTGTTGACATGACACTTCTCGCTAAACTCATTCTACCGTCCTAGTTTGTGGAGGGGAGGTGCCCTGAAACTGCACTCCTATCATCGTCTGCCACTCTCCATTCATTTCTACCCTGTTCTACCCTGGCTCTCACTTGGTACACTGGATACTGCCTCATTATCTCACATTAACACTTGTATTAACAACAACCTTTAACAGCATGGCGTATATGAGCAAAGAGACTTACTTGCAATACACATGTAGATTACTGCCGTCATCCACCCTCTTATGGTATACATGTCGCCGAGAGCCTCCGGCTGACAACTGAATATTCTGTGATAGAACGTGTCCCAAATCCCCCGAAATTCCCTAATTTATGGTTTTATTTCGCTGATTCAGCGTTGACGACAGAGGGTAGGTGACTCCCCCTCAGTGTCCTCAATCCTCATAATCACCTCCTCATTGGCTCTCATGGGTGGTTGTGGGCGGACCCCTTGCATCTTATTGCTGTGTATGCGGTCTCTCACGATTAATCCAGTGACCGAGTGAGGCAAGCTCTTGCTCTGCGATTACACAGACCTGCTGAGCCTCCACATTCTTAACCTAATTGCCAGTCCTGGTGTTTACAATGTACTGTAATGACTGCGAAACGCTTTTCGCAAGTCTCTAACTTTTGGGTAATACCATACCCTCTCCAATCTCAAATTTGGGCCATAACACTCCTATCCAATAGGTACCAGTGGTGCTTTCACTGGAGGCAAAAGCTGACCACTCACCTCCAGCTAGTGCCGAGGTCAAGAAAATGTGGATCTATACATTCACTCCCCCATACGCCTTCAAGACATAGTGCTTATTTCATTAAGAATGGACAACTTTACCTTTATCTATTTACATTAAGATTATGAGATTGCCATTGATTAACTAATTGTATAGCGTGATATGTTCAGCCCTAGTTTGCCATTTTAGAGGCAACTAAAGGAAAGTTTATTTAATTAAAAAATTTTAATCATCTAAATTGCATCTAATTGTAAATCTCTGAAACATTTAAAATTAGTAATATGCTGAAGTCCAATAATGGATGGAGGTAGATGCGCTTTTTTGCTGTCTTGATAGAGTAATGCTGTAGATTGTGTTTTGTATGATAGGCTCTTAATTGTGATTGAAACTTCTGTTTATTATTGTATTGTGGCATCTCTTTAGTGGCCTCTATGAGTGGAAATGTTGAAGTGACTTTGATATATTAAAGATTTACTGATTTAATTTAAATGGCTCAGATATTTTAAAATGTAGTAAGAAAATATGTAAACTTTATTATTTGTTGCCACAGAAGATGGTTAATATAAGGTTGATACATACCGGGCTCTATGTTTATTTACTTATTAAAAAGTCTGATACACTCTATGGTAATTTATGCTTGCCTTAATGTGTCTGTGTGTGCGTGCACACGTGCGTTCAGTGCACATTCTAGCAAAGTGTGCTGGTTCTTAAAAATAAATTGCACTTCAATAGTGTATTCATTTGCCATTTGCATATTGATACTGGTTAGAAATTTTTCCAGCATGTGTAAAAGTTTTGTCACGATTTTATTGAGTGACTGTAGATGTGGTTTGGGTTGCTAATTGGATATAATGACCACTTACAGATCATAACTACAAGTAACTAAAGCACTGAAGACCGTGCCATAGCTCAAGTGGTCAGTTGCTGGCTTCCCACCACGGCGGCCTGGGTTCGATCTCGGGTCTGGTCAAGTGGGATTTGTGGTGGACAAAGTGGCGCTGGGGCGGGTTTTTCTCCAAGTACTTTGGTTTCCCCTGCCAATCTTTGTTCCACCAAATTCTGTGTCATAATCACCCGGGGCAGGCTACAATAGGCCAAGCTGTGGCCGCCATGCTGAGTGGACCCAGTTGGACTCCACCCCCCACTAAGCAAATTTAAAAAAATACTAAAGCACTGTTTCTATTTTACATGCACTAGAGTTCACTACAGCATGCACTAAGTCTTCTCAGTCTGGTATGTCTTCAGCAGTTGTTTGGTAATACAAGGTGGTTCAAATATGACCGGGACTGATTTGTATGTAAACAAGCCGCACTGCGCAGCAGTTGTGTGACCTTGAGAGAGTGAAGCCCCAACCTCCACCCACCCTCCTGTTCGTGTTAGGACCTGTTCAGTCCTGTCTGGGAGTTGCTAGATCGATGAGCGAACAGAAGGTACCGCAGAGCGTGGAAACACGCATTGTGATCAAATTCCTCGGAGAAAACGTCCCGTCCACAGAAATTCACCACAGACTCCAAGAACAGTATGGGGAAGAGTGTATCTCGCAGACCTGTATGTTTGAGTGGTGTAAGTGCTTCAGAGAGGGCAGAGAGCGCTTGGAGAATGAACCACATGATCGTTGGCCGCAATGTGAGAATAGGCGCATCACTATCAAGGAACTTGGAGCAGTGCTGTCCATCAGTGTTGGTAGTGTAGAAGACATGGTGAAATACCACCTACACTATTGCAAGGTGAATGCACGCTGGGTACCACGCACTTTGATGGACATGAACAAAATTGTGTGCATGCAAGCTGCCAGTTGTCTCCTGCAGCAGTTTGAAGATGAAGGCGATGGATTTTTGAAGTCTGTAGTGACCACCGATGAAACTTGGGTGCACTACTTCATTCCCAATTCCCAGCAGTCATCACGTGAGTGGCAGCATACCAGTTTTCCCAAACCCAAGAGAGCGTGGAGGAGCCGTTAAGCAGGAAAAGTGATGGCAACATTCTTCTGTGACTGGCAGGGGGTTATCCATGTAGCCTTTCTGACGGATGCCAGAACAGTCAATGCAGCTTATTACTCAGACCTCCTGGCAACAGACGTGAAGGAAAAGATCCAATCCAAGCGAAAGAGAGGTGGAAAGCGGGTAGCCTTCCTTCAAGACAATGGGCGCCCCCATATGGCCAAAACAACAATGGAAACCCTTCAGAAATTGAAATGGAACCTTCTGACACATCTGCCGTACAATCCTGATATGGCACCAAGTGATTTCTACCTGTTCGGAAGGCTCAAATCTGACTTGGAAGGCATGCAGTTTGTGGACGACGACACCATCATCCAGAATGTTTAGGAGTGGATACACCACCAACCACAAGACTTTTTTGAAAAGGGCATCAGGATGCTTCCAGAACGTTGGAAAAAATGTGTTGACTCCGGAGGGGAGTACTTTGAAGACTGACATGTGCAAGTAAGTGTTTGGCAGTTATGGTTTTTTAAAAAGAAACCAGTCCCGGTCATATTTGAACCACCTTGTAGCTTCCAGTGGCACATGTTCCCCTTACTCTGGGTTCCAAAATTATCCCTGTGCCTCAGCTACCAGCTTCTAACAGCAGTGACTCAATGACCAAACTGCGGTAGTCCTTTGACTGACGGTTGACCAACCAACCCACTTCACTCCATTGTGCCCAACTGTACTGCACTCGCTAACTGAACATGGTCGAGTCATATGGCCTTGGAGTGGACTGACAGAGAACACCTGTTGCAACATCTTTTCTTTTGTTACGTGATCTCACCAAGGAAGTGACATTCCTCTTGTATGTGTATGATCATTTCTTAGCAATGTGTCTATATGCTATGTTGCTCTGTCCTCATTTGTCCTGAATATCCTAGAGATGTATCACCATTTCTTTTTCGAGAGCTGTACTTGTGATATCTGTGATCTTCCTTGCCCTCCTTCCCTCCATAAGGCCACTCATCCCAAGTGGCTCCCTGATAAGGTGCAAGCTGGTCCAGGTGTACCACCATCAACCTTGATATAAGGTTTATATTTGGTTGAAGCAGGCAGAAGTTCCAGGAGTGTTTGATGCTTCTATATATCTGGTTGCTAAGCTGCTAGTAGTCTCTTCTTTCGTTCCAGAGGGGGCTGACCCCTCCACAGTTTACAGTCAGTCACTTCTTGTAACCTGATGGAAAACTTGACTGCACATTTCTCGAACTCCAGCATGAAAGTCTGCCTGATGTTCTTGTTGAATACTCTCTTGCTTTCTAGATGTGGCTGCCCTTTAGGCTTCAGCCTCTTATGTTGTTGCATTCTTGTTGCACTTGATGTCTCTTCTCGAATGTACCCTCTTTAGGGGCTCCTCATACAACTGTGTCCCTTGCGCAGTGCAGGAATTGCAAGGCAGGTCAACTGTCAACTTCTGCTGGCACCCACCATTGCCCTGATTTGTTTCTTTGGCTGCTGATGGTGCCCTGGGGCTAGATGCCAGTCCCCATATTGGTCCACCAGTGCTCTGATATTTTCCACCTCTGCCTCTTCCATAGGAGTGTCCTGTTGCTCCGCTGCAGCCTCTGACTCCTCAATTGGCCCCCAAATCCTTGGTGTCCATTTTGTCCATTCTTTCTTCAAAGACATCCACTGCAGCCTCCTTTTTCTCTAGCTGGAAGTCCATGCTGGCCATCATCTTTTTGCGACGCCCATCTAACTTGATCATTATCTTTTCTTGTTTTGTTGTTTAAGTGTAATGCATATTTTACTATTTACTGTTCATAGTTAAATCTAAAGAGGGTGAGGGACATCGGGATAAAAAGGATAAGAGTGAAAAAACAGCCAAGATAAAGGTGGAGTTTGGAGAGGAAGACAAACACCAGCATGTGTCATCACAATCAGTGGAATTCATTAAGGAGGAACCTATGGATTGCAGTGAGAGGCTTCAACCTTGTGTCAACAGTTTCCATGATCAGTCTCCCCTGAACATCAAGTCAGAGACATCCCGTAATATCAAGAGTGAAGAAGACACTGAGGAAGACATTCCACTGGTAGGTGCTTTAGTTATACAAGTACAAGGTGAATATTGCCATTTTCTGTACATGCATCAGTGAGCAACAAAAGATATTTGACGCTTGTCTTCACACAAATTTAGTGACACTGCAAAAGACGCATTCAGTATTATGTATTCTTTCTTCTTAGTACCTAAGATAATTACATAGTGAGGTCAAAAGTGTCCACATCTTTCACCTCTGAAAGTAATGACTGGATTTTGATTATGTCTTGGATGGGAGGTACCCTAAATGTTGTAAAGAAAATATAATTTTGGTAGGTGTTTTATCTAATACAGTGGAAGTCTTTTATAATGAGAATGAATACCGTATTTACGTATGTATAGGCCGCAGCACAATTTTCAGACAAATTATAGAAAAAATAATTTTCTTGGAATATTATTTCAGGAGTAGAACATCCTGTATTACTAATTATGAATATAATTTTTTTTAAATGAAGTGTGATTTCGAATATAAGCCGCACCCCAGTTTTCCTCTTGAATTTTTGGCAAAAAATGTGCGGCCTATACATGCGTAAATATAGTAATATCGTGAAAAAATGGTGCTACAATGAATAGACAATTTAGAACTTGGAAATGTATAAATTAGCGAAGAAAATCAAATGATTTTATAAATATTTTAATAAATATTATAATATATATATAATATAAATTTTAGTAAATTTTAATATATAATACATTTTATAAATAATATATATAAATGATGAATGTTGTACTTGCAGTTATCTCATTGTAAAGGCTGCCACACACATTCAATTTAGTGTGTGATTTGCATGCACAGACTTTAATCTGATGCCTTAGCTTCAGATTAAATTGCAACACACACTGTCTTAACAGAGTATGTTCACCTTGCTCAAGGGAAGAATTATTTTGACCCTTTTTGACCATCTCTTGGCTAACTTTGAGTGGTGCTGAAGCATATCGTCTGTCACTGTTAGGGAGCTCCGCTTAGCCTGGTAACTCTTGTAGATGGGCTTTCTGTCATGTATATCCGCTGAGGATGCTGTCCAGCCTCTACTACAAGTAGAATTGTCCCTATGTCATCGGCTGCTTCCTCCTTTGGGTAGTACGGTCCCAGTCATCTGTAGTGGTAGTAGTTGTAAGTTGTAGCTTTACTCTGCTTGACTGTCTTTGACTTTCTGGCAGAGCACATGCCCCTGGGCAGGGTTTTCTAGAGTGCATCTGTGTTGGTGTGCTGCTGCCCTTAGTGATGCTCACATGGAAATTGTATTCTAGGAGGCATTTGACTCGGGCTGTGTCCTTCCAGGTTCTTAAAAGTAAGGAGTCAGGTCAGGGCAGAATCGTCTGTTTGCAGGTGGAATATTGTTGCTGGAGGTATTTGTGGAAGTATTCACAGTAGTGACTTCTGTCAGCTTTGGATAAGGTCATGATGGAGTAAGCCACAACATGCTCCTGTCCCTCTGTGCTTTTGACAGCACCATTCCATTTCCCATGTTGACAATTAACTTCTGATTCAACCTATTACAGGTGTTAAGCACAACAACTCTTTCAGGGACTGGAAAGCAGCTTCTGCTTCTTGAGTCCTGACATGGAAAGTCTGTTTCTGTTCATGATTTGAGTTAATGGTTTTGCTGTGTCTGCATATCTATCCGTGAACCTTCTGTACTTGGTACAAACATGGAGAAAACTCAGCACATTTTTATTTTTTAGCACTGGGTACTCGTGTACAGCTTCAGCTTCACTGGGTCTGTAGTCACTCCTTGCAGCAATATATGTTCTTGGTTCTGTACCTCCTTTTGAAACAGGTGGCACCTCTCATAGTTTACTTTGGGGTTGAACCTTTCATACATCTTCCACCAGTTATCCTGGAATGTCCAGCCAACAACACACCCACATTATCCAAGTATATTGAACAGGCTTCATAAGTAAGGTGCCACAGGACAGATTCCATCACCTGCTTGAACATAGCCTGGGCATTGCAGAGACCAAAAGCCATAACTCTGAACTTCCTCATCCCCTGAACATTAGAGAATGTTGTCTTTCCTTGTTGCTGTGGTGCAGGGAAACTTTCCAGTGGCCTCTCTTCAAGTCAGAGGTTGAGAACTATTTGGCCCTCATGAGCATTTACAGGGTATTACCTGCCCTTGTTATCAGGAAGCAGTCTTTCATGTAATGTCATTCAGACATTGATTAGTCCACACAGACCCTAAGGTCTCTGTCTTTCCTCCTGATGAGCTTGATAGTCAAAGACCAAGAAATGTCTGTCTCTTTGCATACCTGTTGTCCTTTCAGGTCTTTCAGCATCTTGTCCACTTCAGTCTTCGTGGCTAACAGGAGTCTGTGAGGGTGCTTACGGATTGGATTGGTATCACCAATGTCAGTGCAGTGGTAAACTACCACTCTTCCCATATGTGGCATCTTTTGTTGTGAAATTGTCCTGGAATTCAATAATTAACACCTCCAACTTCTGGGCTTCTCAAGTGTTGAGGTTCATCCTGGCACCTGAGACCACGTTTTTGGAGTAGCCCTCTTATTCTTGGAGTTTGGTGTTCCAGACAGCTGTCTGGTTCCACCTACATGACTGCTTCACAGTGATCCAGTGTCGTGCCTTTACCCAGCACTAGCTCTTTGTTGGTTACATTCTTTATTCTGGCAGGAATTTTCTGTTGAGCTTGAACCAACATCTTGGCTATGTACAGTCCTCTGGGAAATTTTCAGACTTGGTCCCACTAGGCTGTATGCTGTTTCCAGGGGACTGTTTAGCTGTGCAGTCATCACTCTCTTACATTGTCCCATTATCAGCTCATCATTCGCCAGTGCAAGGAGGGATGATTGAAGTTGTACTGTTGGATGTCATAATGATGCCCCATCTTTTCCTAGTTGTAGTTCATGGTACTTAAGATCTACCACAGTGTGGTAAGCTTGCAGAATGTCCGGCCCAAGGATGAACTCATCTGTGATCTTTGTGATAAACACCCAAATTCGTGATGTGCTCTGTCCCAGAGTCAGTTCCACCATTGACTCTTTCAGGACATGGAAGATGTCACCGGTTGCTGTTTGCAGAACATATTGTCACATGTTGGGTGTATAACGCGACAGATAACTTTACACCGCCTTGGATGTAGCAAATTTATTTAACACTCGCTCTCACAATTACACAATTCACAATTTCCCAACTACTGCCATCGGCAGTATCACAAATACTTCTCCTGTTGTTACTGCCATGCACTCGATACACCCTAACTCGGCGACTGCTAGATTGAAACTGACTGGTTACTCTCAAGCCTAGTAACTCTTATAAACCCTCAGTCAGGCAGCGGAAAATGCACCCCACTTCCCTGTTGCGTAATCGCCGTGGTTACAGGTGTTCCTGGGCAATGCTGCCAAGAGTTGTTTATTACTGCGTAGCAACCAGCTTGCTTCGGCTTGGCTTGGCTCACTTCGGCTCTACTCGGCATAGCATGGAGAAACACCACTTTCCTTACTGTTGCGTAACCTGGCAACCGACCATTTATCAAAGGTCTGTCTTCGTGGTAATTTGTTCCACCTCCCATTGCCCAGCAATGGTTAGACATGTTACAATATGGTGGAAGCAGCTTCCTCTCAAGCAGTCCTTCACTGATGTCAAGCCTGCGCACAGGTGCCTGGCTGTTGATGGTCACAAAGCATGGTTTGCCCCCCATCCATCTCCCAGTGATTAGGCTGTTGTCCCTCTTGCCGCTCAAGTATAATATGTGGGGATGAGGGTGGTGATGCTGGTGGTCTCCTTGCACTGGTTTTTACTTTTTTCCTGAGTTCTGGTCAGCTTCATCATGTCTCTGTTGACAGTTTCTTCAGAGATGACTCATGTCCCCACATTGCCAACAGTCTTTTTTTTTTTCTAGCTACCATGAGGACTCTAGCCCTTATCTCCCGTGGCCTCGCTAATGGTCTGGCTTCCATTGTTGCAGCCTCTGGCTTCAAGGATGGTTAAGGGGCTTGTTGAGTGACCTTTTGTCTGACTTCACTTATTCTCCCATCAAATCCATTCTGGTGATCCCTGATAGCTCTTATTTTGCTTCTGAGTTGTTTTTAGTGGTGCTTATCCTTTTTGCAATTCTTGGTGGGCCACCAGTTAGTGTTGGTTATCCACCAGTTGGTCTTGATGGACTGTTACTTTGTCTTGGCTGCCACTGTGCTTAATTGTGTATAATACAGGATTAATTTTCAGTCCATGTGACACAACTTGTAACAGTTATCAATTTATGGAGCAAGTACTGCCACACTATCTGAAACCTCTTATACTCTTGAGATAAGTTGTTGTTCACTTGTTACTTGACATCAACACAGCTAGTCACAATACTTTGCTCCACTGAGCTGCACTGTATTCAGCTGAAAATTGACTCGCCCACTGACTGACTAGCGTATCGCCTTCTCCTTTTGTAGGTACGTCACCTGCAGGTGTATAACTCTTAGAATCTTCCTGGGTGACTTTGGTCTTTTTTGTTAGCAGATCTGTTTTCCTTATCATTTCAGATGGTATGAGTAGTTTTTTGTGAACCTTGATATTTCTCACAGTTGCCATGTTAGTAGCATTGACATTAGAAAGTTAGATGACACAAAGGTAACCTCTAGTGGTGTGAGTTTCATATCAAGTTTCATGAATATCTGATTAAAATGTTAGTAGGTAGGGATATTCAGGTGGACATATTGATATGGTACACCTTTCCTTATAAAGTATGAAAAGTTGGCTAAAACATAATTTTTATTGTGTCCTATAGCATTTTAATGCAAAAGTTCCGAGCTTTGAACTCAGACTTATCTCTTACGGCAGATGTGTCCAGATATGCAGAACAGATTTTCTGATATTGTAGTACATAGCATTAGGTGAGGTGATTGTATTTTTCTTTTGCATATTAATGCTTGAAGCTGAAATTTAATTGTTTGCTATTTTCAGGCATCACGATCAGGTATAGAGAAAGTCAAGCGAGGATGGGAGGATTCAGATGAGGATGATGTGCCCCTTATGGCTAGGAAGAAAATTAAGAAGGAGTCTAAGAAACGAAAAGAAGAGAGTGATGAGGAGGATTTCAGACCCATGGTAAGTTGCAGTCTTGATAATTTGTTTTAATTTTTTTCTCATACTTTGAATGGGGGAATGAGAAATGAATACAACATTTTGACAAAGTCCAGAAAGAAAGAGACTTTCAGAGATTTGTATGTTGATGGAAGGATGATTTGAAAATGGGGGTAAAGGTGTGGATTGGATTCATCTGAGTCGGGATAGGGTTGCATGGCGTTCTTTTGTGTAGTGAACCCTCAGGTTCCATGAAAGTATTAGCAGCTGAGTAAATATCAAGTTGTTTAAGGCCCTGCACCATATTTGTAGTTAATTGCTGTTATTTTATGCTTGCAATAGAAGAAGAAAAAGTCTACTAAAAAAGGGACTGTTAATGAGGAGATGACACCACAGAGTAGCCCAAAGAAGAAGAAGAAAGAGGATGAACAACAGGAAGTTTGGAAATGGTAATTTCTTTTTTCTATAATTTTTAGTGAAAAAAACAACAGTTATGTCATTTTTAGAAGTGTTTGTTAGGTGGACTTTGGGTAGGTCAACCATATTTTGTCAGAGATGCCTGTATTAAACTGGGAAATTTTGCTGGAAATTGAGCAGTTTTGAATGTTTCTACAAGATGGCAGCACTTGAGTTCAAGATGGTAGGTGCTGTAATTACATGTGCTCTTCATCTATAAAAAGAAGTTACTTCAAGTGAGGGATGGTAAACTACAGGCTGTTACTAACTTGTAATGGGTTCTGTATTGTTTGGGGACTATAAGATTTTGTTAAGAATGGTATGTAATGTGTATGTACAAGTGAAACAGAGAAATACTAACTATGCACTAGGTTATGGTTGTACAAGGTTAAAAAGTAGAAACATACATAAATATGCAGAAGACTATGATCTTGAACTACAGTCAGTTTGGATAACTGCACACAGGTAATTGGTATTGTGATATTGATTTTTAGTTAATTTAATTTATCATATATTTTTTTTGGTAACAAACACGTTTTGCTGAAGTGATATTAATCTTTCAAATCAGAGATATGCTTATCATTAGGGGACATTTGTATGTGTTTTAATTAGATAGGTGAATGCCTTACCAAGGAAGCTCTGGATGGGCTTGGAGACTTCAAATTAGGAAGGCAAATTATTCAAACTGTGAAATATGCAGATGACCTTGTGTTAATGGCTAAGGCAGAAACTGTGCTACAGGGTATGATTGATAGACTAATCGAAATTGGAAGGTGCTATGGCATGGAAATGAATGTGGAAAACAGAAGTCATGAAAATTTCGACACAGACAACCCCAGTCACAATAAAGCTAGACCAAAAACAACTGGAGAATGTGAAATGTTTTAAATATTTGGGTAGCTTGTTAACAGATGATGGAAGGTGTACTTGTGAAATTAAATCCAGGATTGCCATGGCAAAAGCTGCATTTAGCAAGAAGAAGAATCTTTTTACAGCAAATTGGACTTAAATTTGAGGAAGAAACTAGTGAAATGCTACATTTGGAGCATTTCTTTGTATGGGGCTGAAACTTGGACACTTAGGGCAGTAGATCAGAAACATCTGGAAAGCTTCGAAATGTGGTGCTGGAGAAGGATGGAGAAGATCAGTTGGACCGATTATGTGAGAAATGAAGAAGTGTTATTTAGAGTCAGTGAGCAGTGTAATATCCTACATGAAATAAGAAAACGGAAGTCTAATTGGATTGGTCATATCTTACTCAGTAACTGCCTTCTAAAAGAAGTTATTGAAGGAAAGATAGAGGGGCGGATAGAAGTGACCAGAAGATGAGGAAGAAACCATAAGAAGATGGTGGATGACCTTGGGGACAGAAGAGGATATTCTCATATGAAGAAGAAAGCTCTAGATCGCATTAAGTGGAGGAACTGTTTTGGAAGAGACTGTGGACCTGTTGTCTGACAGATTACTGATGAATGAATATTGCCAAGTGTTGGCTATGTAACACAACAAATAACTTCACACTGTCTCGGATTTAGCAAATTCATTGCACATTCGCTCTTACATTTATACAATTCATGATTTCCCAATTACGGCAATCCGCAGTATCACAATTACTTTTCCTGCTGGAGTCACTGCCATTCAATCGATACACTCAACTCGTAGCTGCTGGACTTCAACTCATACTGAATACTAGTAACTCAATACTCACTACTCTTGAATAGTGTTCACTGCTCCTTATTTAGGCTCGGCGCGTATGACATAGAGAACACATTGTTGCTCGGCAACAGATATCTGGTATGGTTGTCAGGTATTTCTACCTACGCATTGCCTAGCAATAGTCGCTGCATGGACTCGCCTGTTGCGTCACATCACAGCCTAGGGGGGAGGGTTGTTTACCGATTGTTGCGTAATGATGGAAGGAGTTGGGGTATATGACATCACTCGCGAGAATGCAGGGTTCACATGACTCCTGCTTCCTGTTGTGCCATCCATGTCACAGTATTATGGATATGCAGAAATTAATGGGAAACAAAGTTGATACTTACATAAACTTGGCACAGCACATAGCAGCCCTCACAGTGCCTCACAATGCTTTGTGAGTGGGTATATGCTGGGCAGAATTAGCCTTGACTTTCTCGCCTTCTCCATCCATCTAGCTGGTTGCATGAACGTGAACTGATTTGTGTATTATATGTAGCTTTATGCCAGGCAACAGAGTAAACATAAAATGTTGGGTGTTACCAGTTTCCAAGAAAGTGGAGATCATTGAGAACAAATAATGTTATGGTTACAAGAAAAACATACTTCAGTGATGTGTCATTACAAGTCCTGCAGACAAAGTTAAGACTTACAAATATGAAAGACTAAATCATGCTTTTATAGTGTAAGTGGAAATGGGCATTGTGTATGCCAATTCAGAGTTCAGTGTTAGGACACCACATAGTGGGATTCCTGATGTGCCACAATTGTTCATCAGAAACCTCCAGGAACTGGAAAATTTTAATTAGATTTGTTTGAAAGGTGAATAAAATTAATGATGCTAGGTACCTTTTTCAAGAAAGAATAACATTTCAGAACAGAATATTCAACTATGACAGCAGCAGCATATAGTATAAGTTTGAAAACCTATGTATGTAGTGTGTTTTTAGCCATTAAGTCAGTGTAAAAATATAATGTGTATTGTGTTACGTTTTTGAGAAGGGATGTAATTTATTTTCTAAACATTTTGAAGCCCATGCTTTCAATAAATTTTCCTTTATAAAAAGTGCATATTTTTGGTCCCTTGGGAAACCTTTGAAAGGAATCCACAATACTGCAGAATATAAATAGAACACTAGGACACTGTTCCCAGACACACTGGATCAAGTCCAGAATGAATTCACTGTCCATCCGCCCATTTTCCTATGCCCTTACCTTCCCTTACTATAATTCTTGGAAATTTTTATTCTGAACATGACACATGATGGACATGCTTTTCCTTCTGGTAACATGGTGATGCCCAGTTGTTTCTCAGAATTTTCAGTGCAGATCTTGGGCAGTTTTTCCGACAGTTTGGTTCATGGTCAGGTGACATGGTATCTAAAAATAGATTGGCATTTACAACTTCTCCTTAATGCTTCTCATGTATTTCTGGAAATCTGTCAATTTCTCTGTATGAAATTTGGGTAGACTCCGTAATGTTTCACTCTTCATTTCTAAAAATCATCTTCAGCCTTTGTTTGTCTTAAAATCAACTTCCTAGTTGTTTGCACTGCTTTGAGTTGAGACATTTCTGTTGAGATGGTATAACTGAATTGATGTCATTTTATATAATAAGCCAGCCTCTCTTCTTACTTAATTACTCCTTTGCTCTGCAGTCTTGTAAGAATCTTGGCCTCCTTTACAACAATTTCCACTCCATCTTTCTTCTGTCATGAGCTTTTTAACCCACTTTTTTTTTGAGGTGAGGTTATTAGCCTCACATTCATCCCCCAGCCTCAAGGACCATGCTCTGCCTTTTATATGGCCTTTGCCTTTCAACCTGTGTCCAGATGAGCAGGGTACACACATCCTCACTATGTAAAGGTAGCAGCCCAAGGGGAGGACATAGGAGCTAATATTATATATTTCTTCTTCCCCTGTTCTCTAAAGCAAGAGTCTAGCAGATCATACTTTTGACCTACTATACGATTTTCTGCTTCTGCTTCATGTATTATTTTTAGTTTCTGTCTAGCAAGAAATGATCCCAGTCTCTTATTGGAGCACTCACCTCTAATTTTAAGTTGTATGATGAAACATGACTTCTCTATACAGCTACCTGAATGCTACTGACATTGACTTAGCAGACGGATATGTCAACATTGTCATGGCCACACACATTAAATATTTGTTACTGAAAGTGGGATTTCATTGAAAAGGGACAGTATGTGTGTCAGATACTATTGCAATGATTCCATTATTGATATTGCAATATTGAATGACCTGCTCAAAAACTAAAATCCTGGTGTAGGATGTGCACCCCATTTTGGTTCTTAATTTTAGGAATAAGGAACATTTTTATAAAACAGCTTTACAATATGGGTTATCACATCACTGATACTGAATTCAATGTTTACTTACATATAATAGACATGTAGTGTAGAAGAAAGCAAGACGAAAGACTACAATATATTGTTGCACTTAGGACGGAGTTTATATCATATATCGTTTAGAGTGCAACAGGATGCTTAAATATAATATTGTTAATAGAAATTATACTGGCTTACCTGGTCACCCTACCCTATCACCATATTTGAGGTTTATTTCTATTTACTTACTGCAGCACAAATGGTAGTTCTGTATCAGGAAATTTACTGAATTGATTTAAGTTTAACCTTTAACGTACGGACTTTTAAATTGCCAGGAGCCCTGTACGGCCGGAATTTAAATCACCCTAATTAATTATCACTGCAAACTTTCAGAAAAAAAATGCATATTTTCCATTCCAACTAAAAAGAACCTGAAAGACAATAAAATTTTCTACATAAACGTAAAAGAACAAGTTTTACAAATGAAAATTAACTGTGAATATTGTATCATGAAATGCAAAACATACTCTTTATTATATACGTTACGAAGTTTCAAAGGACCTGCCCATTGTTTTTTCTACAATCTTGAATCATGATGATATTGCAGATATGATCACACTGTATAGAATAATATTTTGTTCAGACTGTACATGAGTTTGAACTGCGTCACTTCTCAGTTTACGCTATCTCACACTCTGACACGCGTGTGCCATTTCTCGAAACAGTCTTCCACACAGAGCGCAAAGTTACACTTTTTACAGTAGTAGGCCGTGGTTCTGCGCTTCTTATTCTGAGAACAAATACGACAATGTCTTTGTTTTCCTTTGGCTGGCCAGTGTTTCACCTCCCGTCACTCAGTTGGGCCCCAGATGAACTTGGCCTCCCCTGAGAAACGCCACTGACTGTGATATTTGCCTCATGCGACTGAAGAATCAAATCCCGCACCAATATTTCGCGAAACTTTTTGTGTGTCATTTTTCCACCACATGACTTATGTAATAGATATGCATTAAGAATAGTCATATCTAGAAGGTGGAAAAACAATTTCTCTGTCCACTTCCATGTCCTCCTAGCAATGCCATAACTGTTTACCATCCTGTCAGATTTATCAACAAAGCCCATGTGTGCATTGTAGTCTTCAATTACACGGGGTTTGACAGCACGGCCGGATTCTTCTCGGAAGTTGCCTTCCAATGGAGGAGGGTGCAAATTCGTCAGAACATACACATCACGTTTGTCTTTCCAACAAACAACACTTAGCTGCCTCTTGACTCTTGTAACATCCCCTTTTTTCAATTTCATTGACTTGGGCCGAATTTCTTGTGGCATTCCACACCTGTCATTGCGAACGGTGCCACATGAATTTATTTTCCTGTCTAAAAGATCGTCAAATAAAGCAGGAGAACTGAAATAACTGTCCATGTAAATTTTGTGTCCCAAGCCTTCTACTCTTCGAATTACCTGGAGAACAATGCCATGTGTCGACGTAATTTGTTTGCCCAAATAAACTGTCATGTCATAAGTATACCCAAAAGAATCACAAAGCTTGTAAGTTTTTATACCAAATCGTTTGCGTTTCTGTGGAATATACTGACGAAAAATCACTCTTCCTTTGAACAACACTATGACTTCATCAACAGCAAGACGTTCTGCTGGATTGTAAAGTTCACAAAATTTGTTATTGAGATTGTCAAAAATTTTTCTAATTTTCCAGAGCCTATCATACTCTGGGTCAT